TCAAACTCAACAGCCCCAGCTCCTTCGATCGTTCTTAAGCCTTTGGAAAGTAACGCCTGGTGTGGAGTCGAGGCACTTTAATGTGTCAGAGCGGTGAGGTTGTGATGCTCCTGCCCCTCGCCCAGGCAGTGCAATGCTGATGCCGTTGGAGCTGACATTTCGCCACGTCCTGGAGCGAGGGAGAAGCCTGGCCTCGGCTGCGGCGTGCCGACTTCCCCCCCGGCGTGGCGCCGCCTGTCCTGTTCCAGGGGTGCGAGCTGTGTCTGTGGCACTGCTATAAATACCGGTCGGACGCTATTTCCATTCCTGTGCCTGCTGGGCTGGAAGATTGCCCGTGTCACTTCCTAAAACTGTTCCCTGGCACACTTGGATGCTTTCCACCCAGTGTTTTCGGTGGTGCAGCCTGCAAACCTGTATGTTCGCCGTGCGCTGCCAAGGGTGTGGATGGGTTATTTTCTGCCCGGGCTTGCCAGTGCTGAAGCTTGGAGTGCTGGTGGTGGGTCCTGCCTGCCTGGGGACACTGTCCCTGTCCTGAGCCCTTAGGGAACATACTCCCTGCTTGGTGCTGGTGGGCTCTGGGTGCCCTTGGCAGAGCTCACTGGCTCTGCTTTGGCACAGTCAGGACGACCACAAGGCAGCGGCGCTTGGGAGGGGTGTGAAAGCTGTTGCGCCCGTGCTGGAGGGGCTGCTGGGAGAATAGTGGAGGCAGGTGACGACTGGTGATGTTTGTAGGATGGCTGGGGTGCAGCTGAAGGTGGCTCTCGCCTCCCTGTCCTGGATCTAACACCTCCTGTATTGCTGCGGAGGTGGAGCGAAGGAGGAAAGCCTCTGCCTGCCGCTCTCCTGGGGTTTCTGCACTGACTTTCTCCTGCTTCCCGCTGGAAATGTCCTGCTGGGACCCTGCTGGGGCTTGTGCTGAAGGGGGACCACGAGCCCACGTGACGCCAATCCTGTTGGAGGGGAGTTTTGTGGTGACGGCGCTCAGGAGAGCAGAGCAGCCCCTTGGGGAGCCCCTGGCCCCAGCCTGAGCGGTGACCGGGGTCCCCTGTGCATTTGCTTCCCCACGACTTCTCAGGACCATTCTGGACTTCTTCTGGACCGTTGTGCTGAAGTAGGGGTGCAGGTTGGGTGCTGTTGTCTGCTGCTTGTGCTGGGGGGGGACCTGGGCAGCCCCATAGGGACCTTCTGGTGGATTTGAGCTCACGGGGATCTACCCTGCTCCTTCCACCTCCTCCTGCAAGTGCACCCAGCAGACAGCACGCCCGGTGAAGCTGATCACCCTGACCCCAGTGGTGACAGTGCAGGATGTGGCCATGACCATGTCCTGGATGTGAGTCCTGAGGGATTTGGCTGACGTAGCTGCCAACCTGCTCTCTGTGATACCTGCAAAGTCCTGGCAGTAGCGTGAAGTCCCTGGCGACCGGGAAAAGGGAAATGTTACACCCATGTTTGAAAAGGGTAGAGGGAAGGACCCTGGGGTCACCAGCTGGTCAGCCTCACCTCTGTGCTGGGAAGGTGATGGAACAGATCCTCCAGGAGGCTCTGCTAAAGGACAGGGAGGGGATTCCAGACAGCCAGCACGGCTTCGCCAAGGGCAAGTCCTGCCTGGCCGACC